GCGTGTCCGATCTTGGGGGGGGGAGTTTGGTTGCTTAATAAAGGATTGACTTGTTGTTAATAACTGTAATCGTCTTAATAATTGTAATGTTTTCATACCATATCCAACATGGAAGGTTTCAGTGGAGTCCAGCGCAGCGCATACAGTCACAATGATTCCAGGAAATGCCCAGCCAACAATACAATATTTGATGAAAGTCTTTCTGATGTCAGAAGCTTGCCTTCTTGTGTCACGTACTGCACAAAATAAAATATATTTAAAAAATTTAGAATATATTTTAAAAAATCGTCATCGCCATCATCATTGTCATCATCATAATCTTTCTTACTGTCACTGTCTCCTTGTAAATTTTGAAATTTTTAAACTGTTGTTAAACTTTCCTTTCGCATTTAAGGGGTCAAAGGGCCTGTTATGAATTAAAAGGAGATTTGAGTCCCATAATACTCAAGGGAATATTTCTCGAGAGTTTGAAAATTTCAAAATTTACAAGGATTTGTATGGGAAACCATTCAAGCGTGACTGAATGGCAAAAGTTTTTCGTCTCATACAAATCCTTCTAACTTTCGGCGGCCGTTGCAATCGCTATTTTTGAGATTTACGGCTGAAAATTTACAGGTTACTTAATTTTAATATGTTCTTTCAGCTTGTGCTAAAAAAATTTTACAAAAGCGAACTGTGATCAACTAATGCAAAAGGCCTATCACTATCAAAACTCATCACTATTGCCGTCTTCATCATCATCATCATCACCTGCACCACTGACATAATATCCCACCTACTCTTTGTCGATCTGCTTGTCAAATTTTCTTAATGGTTTTTCGCTTGGGAGTTTGGAAGAAATTTTGGATTTATCTTCTACAGACAGTTGTTTTAGAATCACGATTTATACAAATACAGATAACTCCACTTTTATCAACTCTCGGGTGTAGAAACAAAATGATTCAAGAGCAAGAAGTATGCTTGGAGCTCCTCAAACCTGCGTGTTTGCTGCGTTACATAAATTTTAAAGTATCTTTTAAAAGTAATTGAAAGCTTGTATTATATACACTAACCATAAACGTTAAACGCATTTGCTGTATCAAACGCCATGACACTCATCCACCAAAAGGAAGCCAGAAAAAAGAAATGAAGGCAGATTGCGATTGCTTTGCAGTAAAGGTCAACTTGTTGGAACTTAGCAGCACAAAGAAAAATAATGTGGTTGCACAGCATTGCCGATAGGAGGCTAATGAGACATTTTCCAGGTAAGTTACGCAGTTGTTTGAAACATAGGTAAACAACGAGCAAAAAACAGTTCGAGACAATCGAGACTATTGTGCCAGCAAATGTGATTTGCCCAAGGGTCGTAGAGGCTTCCCGCTGCAAATCTTTTGGGTTCTGGTTATCTGGACACACAAGATAAAACACACTTCCGTTTAGTCTCATTTCTTTCTCTTGATTTTGTAACACCTGTGATGCAAACACTGTTACTCGACTGGAGTTCAAAGATATCGGTATTACACGATTTATTGGTGACGTCAAAAGTGTACATACTTCACCGCCATAGATAACTGTACAATTAGCCTCACTTGAGCTGCAGTTGAATAATGACGTCAGATTGTCTTGATAATTCGCTGAGGGCGGTTGAGCTTTTTGTATCACCTTCTCATCTAGAACGCTCGAACTCACATCAAATAAGATCGACAGGGGTGGTCCCAAATCACCGAAAGATGCTAGGCTGACTTCCGCAATACTTGCATCCCCTTTTTTTCGTTCATTTGGTTGGCAGAGTGCGCAGTGAGGGTTTCGGAAAGATAGACGTGTATTTAAACCAGCTATTATGATCGGCATAGAATAAGAGGAACATAACTTCCTGATTACAGACATGACTGGTAATTGATTAGAAGCACAAACCATGTCCTGTGGAATACATCTCTTGTAAGGTTGTTTAAGGTTTAAAAGCGGTACATATCGCCACGAGCACTGGTCATTTTCTTTCAGAAACCTTTTGATCGCTGTAACGTTGGCTTGAAGCGACTCTAAACTCTGACTCCGGCAATTCGCTATTTCTAGACCCCAGAACGAAAGGTTTCCTGCGTTGTTGCACTTCGCACAAGCAATGCTGCGGTATGTTACATTGTTATTAATGTCAAACACAGGCAATTCTTTTTCCAGTGTCATATTCAGATCTTGAATGGTTTGACACTCGTTCGTGTCTTGACTTTTTGGCTGTAAACTGCAAGAAGATTTCATTATAACTCCATTTGTCCATGAAGAAGTACTCAAGTCCTCGCATGTCATATTTCGAAATGATGAATCAATTCGTGCGTTTCTAAATGTATCACACCTGCACATGCAAAGGAATACAGTTAACAGAGCCCACCTTTATTACGTTTTGATATCAGTGTGGTAGTTCACGAATGACCCTTTGAAAACATGAAAGGTTCGGTGTTGCTTTAGTGCAGACTTGCTGGAAAGACGGTCTTCGAAAATGTTCAGGCACGACACGAATTTGCGCATTGGCGTTTCAGTCGGCTTTGTGTTTGTGGGGATAGTAAAAAATATAACGATGCAAAAGGTATTAGTGTTGACGCGTGAACCTGGTGTGTTTTGTAACGTTTAAATAGTGATTTGCGAAACTGAGACCTAAAGCTCGTGCCATCAACAACCAAAAAAAAAACAAAAACAAACAAACAGTGTGATATTTACCTCAAGTGAAAATCCAAACAGCAATCACCCAACGAAACACAAGCCAGATCACAATAACAAGTTTTAGAATGGCTTCTTTCTTCTAAGTAACACCTGCCTTCACACGAGTGTGTCTTTAAGTGCTTGTGGTTGTTCACATTTTCAAGGAAGTCCTCAATCTGAAACGTCGTGATGTTAAGATTACGAAGACGCTCAATCAGGCTTATAAGACTCACATTTCTTCCTTGAAACTTCACAACAAAATCCCCGTAATTTGTATCTACGAAAAAATTAGTCGCAGTTTTTTAAGGCTAAAATCTTGTGAGATAGAACATTTAAAAGCAAGCAAAAACTGACCAGAAAAGAGCAAATTTGGTAAAAATTAAACATACCAACTGGTATTAGCATTTCATCTGACTCTTCTCTCTCCTTTACCCCAAAAGATGATCCCTGACTTTCATTGTAAATCTGCTGAGACCCTGCGGTCTTCTCAATTTCGAAAACTACAATGATAATCAAAACTACTATCACCATTTTACAATTAAACGGCAGAGATGGATGTGTTTGCGTTTATAGAAAAGAAGGTACGCATTGACCGTTCTGCAGCTTGTTTGATCGGTTCGATCCTCTGTCTTAAGACAATTGTCTAAAATGGCTTTCAAAGAGGGAAACCTAACTATAATTCACAGCAGTTTTAATTAAATAAAAGTTCATTGCGTATCTTATTGTATTTTGTGAAAGACGTTCTGTTTGAGCTCAAAATTGTTTAAAAAACTGGCACTGTTTTTGTTTTAATTAACTTTAAAAAATGTCCTATAACACTTCAGATAACAGTTAATTAGAAAGTATGTTCAGTGTTCTTTGAAATAAAGCACTTCTCCGAAGGCAAAACTTAGTTAATTTCGTTACGTAACACAGCCTTCCTAACTACCCCTAGCTACTTCTTAGGTAAAATGATATGATGGAGCAATTTTAGTGAAAGCTTTTTCAATAATTAGCAGTCTCGTAAAAAGAATCAACAGACTACGCCCAGTCCCAATCGCGCTGGCCATGCAAGTCATTTAGATGAAAGTCCAGTTTCTTTTTGCGAGACAAAATTCTTTCTTGAATTTTCGTAAGGTATTAGAAGCACAGTTTAATTCATAGTCCAGTTTGAATTTGTTTTTTGATGGGTGAAATGCTGAACGTTTGTATTTTACCTCTTCAGTTCCATTTTCAGTGTATTTTGTCGCTACCGGAAAAATAGTAATCTGATTAAGTTGCTTTTCCTCGTTTTACGAAATGGTCGAAATGAAATCAAGATTTTTTTCATGAATTTCATTTTAGGGCACTGATGCGAGAGAAAATTTTAGTGTCAAAATAAAATGAGCTTTCCTTGGATCTTTAAAATCAACAATTAAATCATTTTTTATGTTTATATTTATAAATTGAAAACACGCAAGAGAATAAGCCCAGTAAAAATAGATAAAATTAACAAAAAAAACCATAATGTAGTTAACATTAAGAAAACAAACAACCACATTTCCTCTTCTTTTAAACCGATTTAAATATTGATGACCAATATACATAATTGTCATTTTAGGGCAAAATTCTTACTGACTTATTCAGCAAACTGAAAAATAGGCCCACCATTAAAAGGAAAAAGATATTAAATTTTTGAATGCTGCACTATAGGGAAACCGAAACTGAACTAAATAACCAATCTTGTGGTGAAGTAAATAGAAAAGCAGCACTGATATTAATCTTTGTTGGTAATAAAGCTTTGAGTTTTTTGGCTTTGTTTTCATTACATTGGGTTTATATTGTTATCAGATTTGATTGCACAGGCTTGTACTATGGCGAAAGGACCCTTCTACCACGCCAATATTTGACATGGTGCAACTGGTTTTCTCCAGGGTCAGCCGTATTCTTGTGAAAGTAAAGGGTACCAAATTAACTGTGAATGATTGTTGGGGGTTTCTTAGAGCGTTTTAGCCTTTTTACAAGGAGACTTTTCGAATGCCCCATTTAATCTTATTTGTTCACGGTATACGCCAATAAACTCAAACATGGTGAATGAATTTTTCCAAAACACACACTGACTAAACTTAAGGTAATGTTACACGAGACGAGTCGCAAAGACGATTTTTAGCGCAACCCAGCGTTGCAACATTGTTGCGACATTGTTTCGAATGGTTACAACATTGTTCCAACATTGCAAGCAACGCTGTGTAGGCTAAAAATCGTCGTTGCGAATCGTCCCGTGTAACATCAACTTTAAATTAGCACGCAGCTTTGCTTGAGTGACTGTGCGCTTTATAGCAGAATCACTCCGGGTCAGCGTTACGCCTGAAAATGCACTCTGACCGGGAACTACTTTTACAGTTTTTATCTGTTTGAGCACAAACTTTTGCAGGATGATGGAACTTTGCATTCTAAACAATCGGATGATTTTGTTTTTTGATTTTAACGGCTTTGGCGGGAAAATGACGTCACATGATTAAAAGCAAAATTAAAATTTTAACTAATGATGTAAAAAAAAGGTAATTTTTCAAGAGCACGACGTGATATGATCAATTGTAAATCTTTTTTGAAAAGCTCAATTGGTTGAGAAGTTATCAAGCTATGATTTTTGAATTTCCCGCCATATTGTTGCTATTTTTAGAAACATATGCACATTTCAAAATGCTACATCTCCTAAAGCAATTGAGCTTTTCAAAAACATTTTTCTTGCTTGTTTCTATCCCGTTGTGCTGTTTAAAAATTATCTATTTGTTACGTCACTACTTGCACTTTCAATTTTGCTGTCAATCATGTGACGTCATTTTCCCGCCAAAAAACCTTTAAAATCGAAAAACAAAAAAAACATACGATTATTGTTTGAGTACAAAGTTCTGCCATCCTGCAAACTTTGGGCTCAAAAAGAAAAGAACTGTAAACTGAAGTAGTTCCCAAAGTGCAGTTTCAGACGTAAAGCTGACCCGGCGTGATAAATTTGAGTGTACCTTTGAAAAAAAAAAGATACAGAAAAATAGTTATTGATAAATTAGAGAAAAGGTGTTACGATTGACTTACTAAGGAAAGAAGAAACATTTATTTGATGACAGTTGAAAATCTTCAAAGTTCAAAATGTGCACGCGCTCGAAGATGACGCAAGAATTATGCGCTGAGGTGATGTGCAATTTGACAACCTCGCGCGTTCATAACGTTAATAGTTGGTTCAGCTATTTGCTATTTCTGCCACATGAATTAGTTAAGCGATCTTGAAACTTTGATTATTGATCATTAAGCTACCATTCAAAAACCCGCTGATGTTACAAAGTGCTTTATGAATGAAATTAAGAAGATTATTACCCTCTTCTTTGTAATCTATGCTGTGTACTCACTCTACGTAAGATGTCAAGCTAATCCTGGCGGTAGATCATGTGGTAGGTGTAACTTTGAATATATTTTTTCGTGTATCCAAATACGTTGATAATTTATAGAAAACGTAAACGTCTTACAAGGAGTTACTGTGAGAGATCTTGAGTTTAAACCATGGTTACTGACGCATCACAACTGACATGGCCCGACATACAATTGACTGATAACGACTCCCGGGTAGATTGTCAAAAAGTCAATCACTTTGAGCAACGGATCGAACAAGCAACACTCAACGAGTAAATGAATTGTCTAAGAGGTCGTTAATGAATGTAATAAAACAAATGTCTTGGACACAAACCGTTTTTCAAGATATATCAAACAATCCATAAAGCTCGTCTTTACGCCGGTTAGTATGTAGCGTGCCGCAAGCCAGTAACTGTAACAGTTCCGGAACTACGTCTGGACGAACACTTTCAACCAAGAGAGAATGACCCATGGCTCTGATGCCTGGTTATAACCATTCACTTTGTATTCAACACTGACTTCAAGTTGTGCCTGGCCGGTAGCCTCTGTACAGGCGTTCCCCCTCCCTCAGACTGGAGGGGGACGTCTGTACACAGGCTACTGGCCGGGAAGAAAACTATCTTGAACAGAGTTAATGTCAGAAAATGGTTATGATTTCTACATGGCTTATGACCAATGCGATGAGCTGAAATTACAGGTATATATGTTGTGGTTCAAGATAGTCTGAATTCTTTTTTTAAAGTGTACTTCATTCTTTCATTCACGTTTACTACAGTCACTGTGAGCACTGGCACGCAGAAAAACGTCGAGCGTGCCCTTTCTCACTTAACAGCGATCACATTGAGCCAGAATCGTTTTTGGTGAAGAAAGAATCAAAGAGACAAAGCTAACTAAATAGAAAAATCTCACCCGAGGATAACGTTATGTGTGATGTTATGTTTAACAGACTTTGTGAAATCGTGGAGAAGTCTGATGCGACTCAGGGTAGACATAACGGAGTTTGTGAGTTTTATTCTTCTGTATGCAGCTGTAGAGGTAATTGATTTTTAATTAGGTAAAACGAAATTATAACTTTTAAAGTGCCTTTCACCTTTTGGCTGTTTGTGCAATTCACCAGCCGATGATATTCAATCAGGAAATAATGCGGTTTGTGGTCAACTGAGAACATACATACAGCCAATCCTGTGTTGACGGTGTAGCGAACCCTTGGAGAATAGGGAGTTTTAAGAACTGTGATGAAAATAAGAAAATCTTTGCGTGTTGTTTCCCTGCTCTCCGCCTCTGCTCTCGTAGTCTACTGTCTGTAGTGCAATCTTAACGTTCTATATTTGCACGACTTAACCCAGTGCTACAAACGACTTAACGACTTATTTGCACGACTTAACCCAGTGCTACAAACAAAGGACAACTCACAAACGCTCGTCCAGCCGTTGTTCGTAGTCCGTAGTCTCCGTATCTTAAACTCCCTAATGGTTAACATCACCGCTATATGCATGTTGACCGTAAAATACAGGTTTAACAAATCTGTCTGAGAGTTTAATATCCACAAAGCAAAGATGGTGATAAAGAGAAATTTCCATCACAAATTGACCTACCAGTGTTTCTAGCGCTTCTTGTACCAAAAAAAAAGGAAGCTGAACAACTAATGAACGCCATGCATAGTTTATCTATTGCATTATTATGGTACGGGTGACCGTTGAAAAGGGGTGAAGACAATCCGAAAAATAACTCGCTGGGATTCGGAATAGGTGACTGCGATCGCTTGATACAGGTCAGTTTTACAATAGTTAAGAAAATGATTTCCGGGACTTTGGTCGTTAGTGACCGCTTAATAGAGGGTGACCGCCAATCAGCAGGTTCGCGAATAGTTTTACTGTAAATTAAACAGAACAAGACTCCTATATACTAGCCGAGTATT